ATTTGTTGACAGGCTTACTTTAAATTTTATAAAATTTGTCACTGAACATTATTCGAAATTAAAGATCAGAAAATTGGCAGTTAATTTATGAAATTTTTGGATCTTATTGGTATGCGTTAGAACATTAAACTGTGGCACATAGTACAAAAATCAACATTTACCTGTTTTGACCTTTTACCCGATGATTTGCCTCCACGTTTTCCAACCTTTTTACGATCAGTTTTGGTTTTGCTGGATTTTTCTAAACTCCTCTCTGGAGACTCAGTAGGTTCAGAACCCAGGTTTAGTTTTACTTCAGTCAAATCATTTTCAGTATTTATTTTCAAATCTTCTACTATACCATTTTCACATGAGATAAAATCATCACTCATTTTAATCTCATGTGAGGAAGAAGCTTTTACAAAGCTTTCGTTTAGTTTTAGTTGTTCATCAAACAAAACGTCAGTTAATTCTATGTTAATCTTATTTTGTTTCGTAATGGTGAGCTTAGGCCTAACAGCGTCTTTTATTTTCATTTTCAACTCATTTTCCTTTTGTTTCTGTTCATTCAAAATACTTCTGACAATAGTCATTTTTCGTTCTATTTGTTTTTTCCGCCTTGACTCGTCTTCTAACTGTTTCCTCCTGTAGGAATATGATTTTAATTAAAGCCAAAATAAATACTATACACTTTAATAAAAAAAGCAAAAGCACATAAGACTAATATGTTGTGCTATATGGTTTTCCCACTTTCGATCTTTTATAGTGTTGATGTTAAAATAACATAAAATAGCCTAAATTTCGTTATTTAAATAACCTAATCCTCTAGTTAATCGGTAAATTATTGAGAAACAATATTTGCAGGAGAAATAAATAGGAATTTTTTTTATAAACAGCCTATGCCTACAAATAACCATCAAACAACAGGTCTTTTTCAAAGCTTCATTGCCATCGTAGTTTTTAACGCGTACGATACATTTGCCGGCAAAATAAAATGATAACTTAGTTTCTCTGTATCCCGGATTAGCTTACTACTTGCACTATATTTTTCCTTTAATGGTATGAAAGACATGCTACGTAATTTTGCGTAGCATGTGTAATCTTTAATAGTATCATTCATTGTATAGCTTAAAAATATGATTCCTGATACATGTATACCTATTCACAGTTATGGGGCAGGAAAATGATTGCGACAGTTAACGTATGTTTAGTACATGCAAAATCCATGAATGGGTAATCGCCGATTTTCATCACTCAAAATCATTTTCATTAGGCCTACTCTGTATAGGAAAATATCTTTTCTCTATGCTTTTGAATAAATTGTAAAGCTGTAATATGAAAACTTGAAAGAGAATCACTATACTCTGTTCACAAAATTTAGGTGGTTTGAGGGGAAGTTCCTTTACTACCTATTTTTGCTTAATGTAGCCAATACGTTGCAGCCGATTGGTCGTTTTGGCAAACCTCACCTGTTGAGATATTGTTTTATGTAGGATTAACTGAAGGGGGTAGTTTTCTTCCCCTAAAATCGCCTAAATATTGTGAACGAAATTTAGGCAAAGTAATAGTGTTTTATTGTTTTGTTACTAAGAACCAAGAAACTTGACGTGATCATTTGCATCATCATGAATAGTATTGTTCACTACTCGTCACAAATGTTCCATTTCGTGGCTCGATAGTTCGTGCGAAATGTGTCACTTCGGAACAGATAGTGAAATATACTATACTGTTGTTTCAATAGATTGTGAATTGAGAAGTTTCATAAAGCTTGGCTGTACAGACACGAGCTATTAAGGGGGGGGGGTGATGAAAACCCCTTTAGTTACGACTCTCTTTTCAATGTTAACCCTTACCTTATCCTATAGACGAGGCTGTCCCTGTGTCGTGTGAGGCTGTCACCCCCTACAAGGGGTGGAAGTCGTGTCTTCTCCCTCAAACATCCCTCAAGTGGCTTCTTGTAATGTCTCTGTCAAATGGTTAAACAGGTGAATAGTTATTATGCTTATTCGTTTGAATTAGCCTAGCCTAAATATGTAAAGCGAGTGTACAGCTTACTTGGACTTATACCTTGGTCTAAATTTAAATTATTTCCGTTTAACTTCAGTAGCAAAGTTAACCTGATTCTACATTATTTATTGGCCTCTGAAATATCAAAATGTGTTAACCTAGGCTTATAAATTATCATTTTCTGTACTATTAGCAATTCTCTACTTGATTACGATTATTGACTTTAGATATTGAGTATTTTGAGATTTTGTTATTTCCTGATGCCTGTAAATTAAATAAGTACTGTAGGCCTACCTAGAGTTAACTTCTAAATGCTTTCAGACGTACAGTGCTGTATTACTGTACTGTACTCACTGTAATACTGTATGTAGCCTATGTTAGCATGTAAGACGTCCACAAAACAATCATCAGGTTGGTAATTTTTTTTATCTAAGTTCTAAGTCTATTTTATTCTAAAAGTTTTGGATCTTGTTCAATTAGCCCCCTTCAGTCGATGGCCCAAGCTTTTCTTGAGCTGTAACAAAATTTCGCCCAAAACTTAATCTTGTAATTTACCTTAAGGTTGTAAAGAGAAACCATTTGTCTCTCCAATTTAGAGATTATTTCCTCTCGCTTTGAATTTTCCTCCCGAAGATCTCTTATGGCTCTTTCTCGTTGCATTTCCAGAGTCTTAGGAAAGGTTTTTGCTGTTGATCCAATTAGTTCAGCATTCTCTTGCTTTTTCTTTACTTCATGTTTTCCAGCACGTTTAATTTTCACACTCCCACCACACGCGCATTCTATATTCTCAGTTTCTTCATCAGAGTAGTCAACATTGTTCCACAATTCGTCTTCAGAATATTCGGAAAATAAACTTTCAGTAGGATGTGGATTTATGTAATATTTTGTCTGCATTGCGTATAAATCTATGGGTGGTAAGGTGACGATCTCTTTTAAATATTTTTCACCTTCTTCAACCGAAGGCTCGAAATGTGCGGAAGTTATTGAATGTTTTCCAACGTTGATGTTTGTAGAACCCTCAACAGTTGAAGGCGTTATCGCAGTTTTTACGACGGAGATATTCACGGTTTCATCAGTGTATTTTCCTGGTACTTCGTTATTTCTAAGCGATAACAGTTTTTTAGAATTTCTTTGTTGCATGGAATCCATGAGAGGTTTCACCAATACAGTACATACAAAATTTACCTGAGGTTACCTATTAGAAATAGTTTAATTTTCAATAAAATTTTTTAAAGTGGTGGAACTATTCATAGACATTTCCTATAAACCTGACATCAATCAACTCACATAACACTAGAACTAAAACAGATAGTGGGGGTATTACACAAAGGTATCGAGATTCTTTGAATTTGCAATTTGTTTACAAATATCAACATTTAGTTGTTTATACGATTTGCTATTTTGACATTGAGATATTGCTAAAACCATATGATTAATACGCGTACATAGAGATAGAATGTAAGGAACCGTAAATTAGATGCTACAAGAAATACGATGAAAACTTAAGAATAAACTAACCTATTTAATTACAATTTTAAGTTGTGTGATTCCTTATTACAAAGAAACTAGCATGATTTTGGTAAAAATAATACTTTCACAGAGAATAAACTATGCAGCAGAAAATATATTGCATCGGATTTGGAAAGTTAAACCATAGATAAAACATACTCCCCCAAGGTTAAACCATGGTTAAACCTACCTAAAGGAATACTTATTTGGAGTTACATTCTTCGTAATAGTGAAACTTTGTTCGAAAACACTGAAATTTCAATTGGAGATTCCGTTTATAAAAACAACAAATTACCATACTTATATTTGGAAAATCATTTGTCTGATAGGAGTACTAAAAACTAGGTGGTTTACAAACTAATTTTTTTATTTTAAAACAATTTTCTTTTCTGTTTTTTATATAAGAAGAAATATATGAGAGAAGTGTCTAACTCGAGACAAAATGTACATGATCATTTTTTTCCGAATGTTTTTAGAAACTTAAGAGATAAAATAACGATGGGTGATAGGTAAAAGAGTTAAAAATACATATACGAACTTGGTATTCATTACTATGCATTACTAGGCAAAAAGATTAACGTTTGTGCAACTATGAGCAACTTATATTTTTACAATCAAGGATGTTCAGTCAAGTTGCCTTTGTTTTTTGTATTAATTTTATATGTCTTTGTTTTTAACAGTCCGTCTGTAATTCCCATCACATTACCATATGTCAATTTTCATTGTTGCATTATTCGTCTCGAATCACCGCTCATAACAACATACTCATTTTTTTCTCGTAATAAATCAACCTCTTTAAACCAAAACCTCGACTTTTTCCTCTTTTTAGTATAATTACACCGCACAAAGGAGGTGATTGGAATGCAGTGCTAAAACAGGAGATAGTATGTCTCAAATCGGAACACTGACGTTGTCCAATGCATTTAGCTAATATTTTAAACACTTGTTTGAAAATTAAATCGCTATAATTTTTATTTTTAAGGTACTGTATTTAACATAATTGTATGACAATTACCAGAAATCGAAGAGGTGAAGGGTGAAGAATGCTCAAACAGTGAAGATGCCAACCTACACTCTTCAACTTTTTGTCACAAGGCTAATTCAAAGCCTGCCCTGACATGTAGTAAAAATTACTCTAAACCAAGCACCCGCTATACTGCACTTGTAAGCTCAGATGATCACTCCGATTCTGTAAAGACATTTCCATCATGCTTTGCCTGTCACAACAAACCGATCACTAAATCTACATGTGTAAGGTTTTTGCTAAGAAATCTCCAAACGAGCGTTACAAACTTGTAAAGGAGCAAAATAAACGTATTTCATGTCTTGGCAATCACACACTCAAAAATTGTCGCTCAACAGGCACATGTCTTAAATGTAAACAAAAACACCACACCTTGTTACATTTCGAAAATGTTGTAAAGTCGGTGCAGCCTCCTCCTATAGCCAAACCCTCAAAACCTCCAACTGCTACACCTTCTGTAGTCGCTTCTGCTCAACCAGAAATGTCACTCTCGATTTCTCAGCCTGCAACTACGGTACTGCTAGGCACCGCTCTCATTAAAATTACCGCTAATAATGGAATCTCTCATGTCTTTCGATGTCTGCTCGACAGTGGAAGTCAACTCAACTTCATGACAGAGAGGGCAGCACAGCTATTAAACGTCTCTCGTCTCCGCTCTACTCACACAATCGTGGGAATCTCTGCATCGCAATCCTCGACAAAGGGACATGCACTCCTAGAACTATCAACACTAGGCAGTGAAGTAATTGCTTCAAATCAACCTTTCCATATTCTAGATAGAATTTCCGCTCCTTTGCCTCGTACTCAACTCTCTTTTGGGGTTTACAAACTGGTAAAACCTTTTGTCCTCGCAGATCCGACCTTTCATATTCCTCAGAATATTGACATTCTCATAGGAGGTACTTTGTTTCCAGAACTTCTTACTCATCAATCCTACCCATTGGGCTCAAACCTTCCATTCGTTATTGGAACACGATTGGGATTTGTGTTAATGGGCAATGCTCCAACTTTGTCTAACTCTTCTCCCACCTCATGCCATTCATCTCTACTCTCCACTACGGACGAGCTACATAATACTCTACTTCGCTTCGGCAACAAGAAGAGGTACCGAAGTGCAATCTTATCTCTGAAGATGATCGCCTCGCCCTCATGTGTGGGAAATCTTTTTATTGAACAACATTTTATTTCTCTAGGCAAAAAGATTAACGTTTGTGCAACTATGAGCAACTTATATTTTTACAATCAAGGATGTTCAGTCAAGTTGCCTTTGTTTTTTGTATTAATTTTATATGTCTTTGTTTTTAACAGTCCGTCTGTAATTCCCATCACATTACCATATGTCAATTTTCATTGTTGCATTATTCGTCTCGAATCACCGCTCATAACAACATACTCATTTTTTTCTCGTAATAAATCAACCTCTTTAAACCAAAACCTCGACTTTTTCCTCTTTTTAGTATAATTACACCGCACAAAGGAGGTGATTGGAATGCAGTGCTAAAACAGGAGATAGTATGTCTCAAATCGGAACACTGACGTTGTCCAATGCATTTAGCTAATATTTTAAACACTTGTTTGAAAATTAAATCGCTATAATTTTTATTTTTAAGGTACTGTATTTAACATAATTGTATGACAATTACCAGAAATATGTCCACCAATCTTAAAATATTAGAGTAAAATATTACTAAATAGGCTACTTGTTTTTTATTGTTTTTTTTTTTTTTTTTAAAGGGGTTTTATACTGACTTGGGAACTTGTGTTTAGCAAGTAAGAGCAAAGATGCACAACATAAAAGATATTTTTACACTTTGAATCAAATTTGTTAAAATTCTATGTCATCTCATTTCACTGTGTTATTGATAACTTTGTACTGTACCGAGTGTAATCTATACGACGCTTCCCTGACAAGTCGAGCCTTTGAGAAAACACAGTGCAAAAACACAAACAAAATATTTTTTGAGAGGGTTCAAGCCGGAAGTTTTTGACCCGTAACGTCAAATTAGTCACCCGGAGAAACATATTTTATTTCCAAAGCCGACCCGTGTGGCGGAAATAGAATGGAAAGAGATGTTTCCGGTTGAACACACTTTTTTACCCCCTTTATCGGCAAACTTCAAAACAATAAACGTCGCCCAAGCAACCCTCCCCCATCACACAATAATACTTGCATTTCGTGAAGCACTTTGTAAAAATTGATCACTCGCTCGATTCATCTGGCTATTTTATGTTAAAACAACTTTTTCAAGAAGCTGGAATAACAACTCATTCATACAATATGGGTGGTAATGTTGTAGGAAAGACAATAACTTTATGTATGAGTGAGTGGTACAGTCATATATGCATACGACGCATATATACAGTACTAGCTGTACCCGCGGGCTTCGCCCCGTTTAACTTCATAAGTATTCGCATGGCTCATTCACGTCCTGGTTGAAGTTAGTTCGCTACACTCACTCACCTTCAGGTTAGCTCGTTCGCTACGCTCACTCACCTTTTGGTTGGAAATTAGCTGTTGTCATAAATTTAAAAAAAATTAATAGTGGTGCACCCTGTTGTTAATCCTTGTAACTTTTATGCAATTGAAAATCATAGAACAAAACCAACTTGTTTAATTGAAACAGCTGTTAGTATTCATTAATTCCTTTTAAATATGAAAAATCATAAGATTAACATGGGGAACTACAGAGCCACTGGGGCGGAGCCCGAAAGGGTTTTTGAGATAAGAATATGCTTTAATGTTAATCGGGAATGTGAGCTATCATCATGCCAAATTTCAGCCCAATCCGTCCAGTAGTTTATGCGTGATTGAGCAACAAACACACACACAAACATACACACAAACATACACACAAACTCACAAACTTTCAGATTTATAATATTAGTAAGATGCATGCTTTACTTCACACACAACTATACACAATATTTATTTACTCTCATGTCAAATACGTTTTTCAAAAGCTTACAGTAATTAGTAATAGTATATGATCACAAACAAGTGGCGAACATTCTTTGATGTTTTCTGTTGATCTTTTAGTAGTCTTTTAGTAAAAGTGACGTTTTCCAGTCATTGAATATACACAACACTTTTCATAGTGTTCAATGTTGCAGGTGTGAGTCTAAAATCCCTCCTTTCGTAAGTTTCGGTAAATTTAATCGTAACGAGGTACCCTGGTAACTTTGCTATCCTCAATGTTGGCATGATCCAACAATTTAGTTCACAAAGGTTGTTTATTCTAATGTTTTTACCATCTCCAAAGAATGCGTTTTGGAAGCTCTCGCCTTTTACATACTCTCTCGACAACTTCTTGAGCTTTGGTGCCAAATTTACTGTTTCGTTGTATAACTAAGTAGTTGAGATAACAGTCAGATATTTTTCTAAAGTATTCCATTCTCACGAGGTAAATGTGACCACAGTTAGATTCGTTGAAAACAACAATAATATATGTAATAATGCTTAACTAGTGTGAACATTTTGTTGATATTTTCCATAATTTGAGGTGCCTTAACTGCATCTCTACCATAAACTCTGGTAGTCGGCTTTTATACTGTATAATGATATATTGAAATGATGCCCACGTCCCATACAACGATGCCAAGACCATCTAGACTTGGAGCTACAACATAGCCAGAGTGCCAGGTGCACCGTAAAATCAGCTGATTAATAACTCGACTATCTGTCAGCACAATGGCCACTTTCGTTACACCGAGCTGCACCAGTTAATGTGTCTACTTTTTCCTGTTTTGAAACATCCTAACAATAATACCTTTTCAAAATTTATATGAGCGCCGTGTCTAATCGGACATGCTTTTTGTTGGGAAAATCTTAGCTAAAAGAAAGATTTTCTAGAACAAATATGAGTTTTTATACCCATTGCTGACACTTATTACAAGATGAAGTGGTGTTAAAAGGGAGTTATCAATAAAAAAAAACTCGGAACGCAATTTAGTAGAGTGGTTCAAAACCAGACTTACACTTGAACAGCCCATAGCAGTATGTATTTTATTGGACAACAAATCGCATTAAAATTAATAACATAGCTACGTCAAAATGTATACAAATTATTGTAAACCCGTAAAAAGTACTTTATATTGTCAATTAAATTTATATTGTAACTGTTTAACTCTTTATGTCTGCGTTCGGCTATTTCGGGACAGACTTACTTCGTGGTTTCGGTATATATTCGATTTAGTTTAATACTTTTATCAGTTTCTCCTACTGTATATCTTTGTAGTTTGGCCTATCTTCTGTTATATCATGAGGTAGGAGAGGACTCGTTGAATAATTTATACAAAACCCGCTGCTTTGACTGCGATCTGAATTATCGAATGAGCCAACAAACGAATCAGGAAATGAAATATGTAATATGTTAAATCAAAATTTCAGATCTGCAGCTACATACAAAACCTTTTTCGTCGTTTATAAAACCTCCCAGCGAAATTTCTCTGGATCAATCAAATACCACTATAATAATGATAATTATCTACAGAATGATAATCGGAAACTCTTGCAAACATGCTCGGATACTCGACTTGTTTCTACAAATCTACTCGAATCAAATCAATATCGAGACAGTATCGATTACCGAGTATCGAGTGTCGAGTTTCGAGTGTCGAGTGACGAGTATCGAGTGTCGAGTTTCGAGTGTCGAGTGACGAGTATCGAGTGTCGAGTTTCGAGTGTCGAGTGTCGAGTTTCGAGTGCCCTCGACCGGTAGTTGATTATACAGCACCTTCACGCTGGTGTGGCATTGTCGCAGCCTTCGCATACCTCAACACGGGACAGACCTTGTCATCGTACTGTGTGGAAGGCCCCGAGGTGTGGAAACTGAAAATATATGCACGAATCAAGCAAGAGGTCAAGCAAAAAAAAGTCAAAAGTAGGCTATGTCTTGTAGTGCACACACAGGAATGGTCAATCTGAAACAGTTTAGGAACCTATATGTACGGAAAGTCATAAATTACCCTTAAATAGTAAATTTACCCTTATACTGTCAACTCACAAGACGATAAATACATACAAGAAAAGTTGGTAAGTGGTGATCGATTTCAATTTGACACTCCAATCATCATCAGACCCAATAATCCTTAAATAGTAAATTTACCCTTTTACTGTCAATTCACAAGGCGGTATAAATACACCGGTTGTCGGTTTTCGGTTGTGGTATAAATACAAGAAAAGTTGGTAAGTGGTGATCGATTTCAATTTGACACTCCAATGACAACGTACATTTAATAGCACGTACAATGCTGATGAAGAAGTGATTTAGAACGTGTAGTTTTAAGCCCAATAAATAAATTACAGTGGGAAATCGTTTTAGCAAAAAGGTTTTCAGGTTTACGATCTAGACTCTGATCTGTCCTCATATAGGGTTGTCGGCTTTAAACATTTAAGGTAAACACCTTTAAGTTAAATAAAAAACATATAATCAATCTAGAGGTTAAAATACCTTTAATCCGTCAGTGTGATCATGTTACCGACGTCATATGTCAGCCGGTCATCGGTGACTTATGATCACACTGACGGATTAAAGGTATACCTCTAGATTAATTTAAACTATAGGTCGTCCAGTGGTCGAAACTCGACCAAAAATATCTAGTGTGCGGACTTTTATAATTTTCATAACACCACTGTGAATAAAATATATGATTGGAATTTTTTATATTTGTTTGTATTTTCTGTTTATATTTCGTTGTTATTTCGTCACCAGCATGGCAACCCATAAAGCACATGTTAATTCTTTTTTAAATTTCAATTTTTTTCATGCTTATTTTGGAGCCTATTTTAATTTTTAAAGGGATTCTGCACATATAGGCTACAGGAAAATATCTTTCTAACAGTATGCGTAGGCCTAGATTTCCCCTGCAATGCACACGAGCTGAGAAAAAAAGGCTTTAAAGAAAGATGCTTAAAGGGACAGTGTCACTCTTTTTCTTTGAGACAAACTTCAAGCTGTAACAATGTTCATTGAGTTCATTGGATTCCTATTTCCTATGGAAAGACAATAGTGGACCGTTTAAATTGTTTTTATGGGGGGGGGGTTCAAACAGGAATTATTGATTATGAGTACATTTTTTCATGTACAATATATCATATCTACAATCGGAGTCAGTTTCACGATCCTCTCCCTAAAATAGCACTGGAGGTAGCTATAGACTAATAGAAGAGGGATGCAATATGTATACCAGATTAGTTGCACACCGTATACACTATAATCTTTGCGGAAGGTATAGGGTAATATAGACAATGTTGAATCCAGCTTACCAAAGATGAGACCTACGTTTATACGGATGTTCTTCTAAAAGAAGGATGTATAAACATAATACGAATGGTTATAAAGACTATTGTCTGTTAATAAACTTGTAATTTTCTACCATGATAAATTTGGTAACAAGCTTTAGTAATCTAGACACATAAGAAAGTAGAGGGATATTCCACCTAAAGAGCCGGTGAAAAGCCTTCACATTCCGTGCATTGTGGCTGAGTCATAGGCCTTGGTGTGAAGCTGTTCTTTCAACGGGTATGTGTAAAAAAATCCTTTGGGCGGTGAATAGCAAAAAGCGTTGAAATAACCAATCCACAGGTATGGTTAAATCTATAACTATACTCATGCCCTTTCCAATATGGGAGTGTTCCTGAACGCCATTTTTTACCCGGTGTTTAGGGGAGCAGCCCTAATTGATAAGATTATTTATAGAATACTAGCTGAGTACCTACCCGTCCTTCGTACGGGGTTGGTATACAATGTTTATTGTAGTTAAATTCTCGTGCTTTGCATTTGCAATGAGAGAGGACACGTTTTGAGAAAATTTTGGTTTACTATAATCTACGGTATACCATATATAGTATATAGAATATCTACCATAGCCATAATATTCTACCACTTCACCTAAACAATAGAAAGAAGTAAAGTTCTCACACTCAGGGTTTTGTTGCTGCTTGGTTCAAATTAGCTGTTGTCATAAAATGTATAAAGAACTAATGGTGCTGTACCCTGTTGGTAAACCGTGAAACCTTTTAATGCTATTGAATATCATAGAAATTGTGTATTTGAAACAGCTGGCAAAATATTTAATTCCTTTTAAATATGAATACTCATAAGGTTAACATGGGAAACTCTAGAGCCGCTGGGGCGGAGCCCGAAAGGATTTTTGAGGTAAGAATACGTCTATATGTTAATCGGGAATGTGAGCTATCATCATACCAAAATTCAACACAATCCGACCAGCAGTTAATGCGTGATTGAACTTCAAACAAACAAACAAACAAACAAACAAACAAACAAATAAACAAACAAACACACAAACTTTCACATTTATAATATTAGTATGATTCTTATGTAAAAAATGTATGATGTAGGCAAACTGCAGTGTCTTTCAATGTGTCCTTCAAAACATGAATTTGTTTGAAAGAATTGGGAAGTTAGTTAACTTATTTTGTATTCTCTAATTACTTAGTATACTTACTTGGTATACTAATTAGTGTTACTTAAAATTTATACTACACAGTTGTCCTTGATCATTGGGCTTTTAGTGGATGATCTTACATCTGAAGTACATTGAATAACATAGGCCTAACACTATGTTCAATGGTGGGTAACTAAGCTGTCATCTCATACATACAACACTCAACGTTTAGCCTACTCATCTCCTGATGTGTTGGCATCACCTCTATGTAAACAATAGTTTTAGTTTTATTCTTTATTTTAATTACCACCCTAGTTCCATAAAATATCTTCTCATCCCCTACGAGTTTCCACATTGCGCGGAGTTTACAGAAACTTTCCCACTGTTTCAGTTCCGAGCCGCCCATCCAATTACAGCCAGCACGAGGACTACTGGAGCCGAACTAATGGCGTGTATAGTTATTGGCTTTCCAGCTTCAATAGCTGAGATGATTTCGGCGGGAGAAAGAAAATGGTGGATTGATTGTGGAAAGCGGTCGAAGAGTGTAAGGGTTCCCACGGCAGCGTGGCTTTGTATCGACCGATTGTTGCCCCGAGATTGATCCTGGACCCCTAGGGGGTAGCATTGGCACATACCTGTCCATCGATACCGATACCGACTGTGGCGGTAATAATGTCTTCCTGTTGGTACCTACAGTTATCGGAACTAGAGGCCGCGAACGCTGCGGGATGTGAGAAAACCGCTGGGAGTATTTTTAAAAATAAAGTGAGTGGTTTTGGAAAATGTGAAATCAACAATTGTATTATTATTTATGACAAAATAACATTTAATTTATGTTTTCATACGATTTACTAGTGTGCTGGTAGTTTTTACCCGTGCATAGCTTCACTGTGAGGAGAGAACGCAAAAGATCAGTAGAGCCTTTAAACAATTCTAACTAGATTACAGTATCTACAAAAATATGTAATATACACACGTTTATCTCAATTCCCTACGTATTCATACGAAATACGTTCTCTGCATCAGAGTTATTAAAAATTCACTGGATTTAAAAACAAATATTTGCAACTGATTTGATGTGTGGAAATGGCTAAAATCAACTTTTGATCGTGTGCAAAAGTTCCGTTTAAATAGTTTTATAGTTTTTGCAATAGTAGAAAGATGGATAGATACTACACTTTTAAGATACTTGTAGTTTACGCTCTAATTTTGTTGCTAATGTGAGAAGTAGAAAATGAATCGGAGTAGTAAGGTAAAACGAATTGTTTTTACTTATGGAATTGTAAGTTCGAGAATTGGTCTGTAAACATAAATTCGAAGGGTTTACAAGTATACCATCAACTTTAAATGAGCATAATCCAATAGAGATTGGACTGATTCATTTATGTACAAACAGCAAAGGACCAATAATTAACCCCTGAGGTGCACCGTAATCCCTGTCGGATCTTAGACATCTTCCTCAACACTCTGCCACCTATCTGGTAGATAATTTGATAAGTTGAAAATTATATGATCCAATGATCGTCTATGGGTCATCGATTCTTTTAGTGATCAGGTTGTTTTTGTGTTGAATAGCTACAAAACCTTAAGAGAATCCAATCCATACAATTACCCTTTTCTCACCATAAAGCCTTCCAGAGCAACAAATCTTCAGACAAAAACAGCTCCGCCCAAGAAGCCACGATCGGTTTAGAGCAAAGACCACCCCGGGCTCAAAGACACCAAAGTTCCTCCGTGGATTCGTCAGGGTGCAACCAAGACAAGGAGTGTCGACATGTCCTGAGCATCCTCAATGGAGTTCCCACGCTCGCCTCATTGTGTCCTTTGTGACAAACATAATTAACGGTTTTGTTGAACCTGCTGTAGCTGTCGACACCATCCTCCTATGGGGGCTTTCGCTTGTATCCGCTCCACTCAGCCAGTCACCTCTTTCTGTATGGAAGTGATACCTACATTAAAAACTCAAAGCGGCATTATAAAGAAGTGAGAAGTGTTCAGGGCTATTGCCTAAGTCTCTTGAGGATTGTCAGATACATACCATACCAGCATGTTACTAGGAAAATGTCTTACTATGCTAGTTGGTAGACGCAAAATGTCGTTAGTATTTATGAAATCATTCACGGTTAAAAGGTATGAGTCTAATGTCAAAGAAATAACTAGTCAACATGTCACACGATATATTTAGCTCTGATACTTAAGTGCAGTTCGTAGACCATAGATTTATAAATCATTAATGTTTTGCTTCATTGGATTTGCACATTCAGCAACAACAAAATAACCCAATAAACTCTATTAAAGATCCTTGTAGCCT